GTGCATTGATAAGGGGTCTGAGGGTTCCAGAATATTCCCTCCAGTCAGTAAAACAGACCTATTGGCCAGCAGAAAAGTCCAGTTCAATTTAACTGACATTAATTGAGCTGCCTGCCAGATAGAAGCTAGCTGGTAGGGACACTGGACTTCAGTAATCAAGCCTTGCAGAGTATCACGGGTTGTCTAAATACAAGCTTACCTACTGAATTTTGAGAAGATTCAGAAGGAACAAAAGGAAGATATATAGATTCCCTGAGTGAACTCAGTGACAAATTATGGAGAGATGCTCTAAATGTGGTCTCTTGTTCATTCTTCTGCCAAGAAATACCCCGATAAAAATGAAAATGATTTATCCTATTTTAATACTACTAGATAAGATGGTTTGGTGATTTTCTCCAGTAATCTAGTCCAATTCCTAAGGATGTTTACAATCAAATTATCCTAATTCAAACCAAGACAGTGCCTGGTTAAAAAGAAAGAAAAAAAGCAAGCAAGCAAGCAAACAAGCGCCTCTCTATCTCTCCCCTCCCTTTCACTGTCCTCACGTCCAACCTCCCTTAAGACAAGAAAGAATAGGAGTCCCCAAGATGGCCTAAGGACCTCCCAGCAATGCACAGACATTCCACTCCCTTTCATTTCAGTTGGAGTTAAGACCTGCCATTCTCTTTCCCAGAAAACAGAGGGGAATAAGTGGATTCAAGTGAGCTCCGAGCTCCTTTAGAAAGTTTTATTCCTACAACCAAGGAGGAATTTCTCTAAATTACATTCTTTTCCAAACAGAGCTATTTTCCTCCTACTATTGATTCTGTTGTCTTATCAGCACTTCCAAAAGTTTTATCCTCTCTCTGATCTTCTGGCCCCAAGGAAATCTCAGTGGGAGCTACAGTCAACAATCACTGGGCCCAGTTCCCATTTCTCAGCCGCCAACCCCATAATCTGCCAATATCAGGAGGGAGCAAGGTCCTGGCCGGGCAGTCTGGGTTAATCACTCCTAGCTGCTCCTCACTGATCACAGCAACCTTTTGTAACTTTTATGCAAGAGTTTGGGCATGCTTGTTCTCAACTCAAGGGCTGATAAACAGAACAAGATTTGTCAGGTGAATCAGCAGCCAATCTCAAGGCAGGCCAGACCTGAGCCCTGATGGTTTAGGATGACTAAGATTAAGGAACCTACAGACAACTTAGATTTTTATAATGGCCCTCAGGCTCAGCGATTACCATTATTAAGACCCTGGGTAAGTGATTTCTCAAAAATAACCTTTCTCAACACCATAGTGCCATTCGGGGCAATCAGTGTGACAAGAAGCCAAAGTTAAGGGGGACTGGTTTGTGAGAAGCGTGTTATACTTGTTTACCCTGTGCGTCCCTAGGCTGTGCAGCCAGCAAAGGGAACAGACTAGAGAAAACACCGATAAATTTTCAGGCCTCCCTCCAGGGAGCTTTTTTATACCCTTAGCACTAAGTATTGGCACCTGCTCTCCCACACCCTGAATTCCTCCCCTTCAATAGATGGACTCTATTCCCTTAAGAGAAGGATGTTGGGGCCAGCAGGTGGCATGGGGATTAAGGTGGCTGGACTGTCACATGGTCAATTGTAGTTCAAGTCCCAGGCCTGGTGGCTTGAAAATCACACCAGGCACCTGTGCATGCTTGCCTAAGATCCTGAGAGGAAAATGGAGGAGAAGGGATTGCAACATGGCCACCCCCCTTGGGTGTTGATTTCTCACTTTCCTCTGTCTCTCTCTCTTCTCTGCTGAGTGCACCCTATAGCAAAAATGAGAGAGAGAGAGAGAGAGAGAGAGAGAGAGATGATTTTAGGGTATCAGGTAGGTGATTGGAGTCTGAGAGCAATAAGAACCAGATCCTGGTTCTCCACCAGGCTCTCCAGCAGGAGATATTTTAGGTCGAGGTCGTCACACCTGGGAAGCGCTATGGTGGAGACCATGGAGGCTGCTAAACATCATGTAATGTACAGGATAGACCCCAGGGATCTAAAAGGGAGGACCTAGGACTGACTCAGTGAATGGTTGTTAAAGCAGCCAGACCCCACAGGGCCTACTGCACAGAGTCCCAGACCTGGCAGTTCGAGAAACACACCAGGCATATGTGCATGCATGCCCAAAATCCTGAAAGGAGGGAGAAAAGAGAAGGGACCATTCCCTCTTGGGGGGAGGGTGTTTTCTCCTCTCCCTCTCTCTGGTGAGCATAGAGCTCTCTAGCAAAAACGTTAAGGAAGTAAAAGGACTTAGAAAGCTCAATGTCCATAGCACTGAGATGCAAAATGCTGACTCAGGAGTTCTTCCTCACAAGGAATGAGTCCCAGCCTTAGGGTTGCTGTTCCCTCTGCAAACCTCCCCTCCCTCCACCGGGCTCCCATCAACTCACTTACTCTCCAGAGAGGCACCTGTGTGCAGGATTCAACCCCCCCTAGATGCTGCTATTTCACAACATGCAGATTGAGAACTGAAGGGAAAAGATTGAAAACTGAAGGGAAAAACGGTCAACAGTTCTTGGCGAACATTTATTTGGGCCTGGATGCTGTGGTCGTTTCAACCACCACCCTCCACGGTTTCAGGAGCCTGCAGAGTTGTGATATTGCAGCTGTTTGGTAAACTACCTTGTTGCATGCCAACACAAGCCACAGGCCAGGCATCAGTGCCCCTCCAGAGCAGCCAGAACTCCACCCACAAAGCAATGGGCCCACTGCAGCCCACCACACGTACTGCCACATCCAGTGTTCACCTCCCAGGGCTCTATCGGCGTCCGTGTGAGACTGCGCACCCACCGCCTCAGCCCTCAGCCTCATTTGGCTTCGTGGTAGCAGTGACTGTCCTTGTGTCTAACCGCCTCTTCCCTCCCCTGCCAGGAGGCCGCGTGTGCTTACGTGCTGATAGTGACTGCCGTGTACTGGGTGTCAGAAGCCGTGCCTCTCGGAGCTGCAGCCCTCGTGCCTGCCTTCCTCTACCCGTTCTTTGGAGTCCTTCGATCCAGTGAGGTTAGACGGCCTGTGGCCCAGCCTCCTGCATGTGTTCCTGTGGGACCATGAATAGAGGGCTCCAGGTGAAGAGAGCCAGCCCCCTTTATAGGTTCCTGGTGGGCCATGCATGGAGGGCTCCAGGTGAAAAAGATTCACAAAGCACTCAAGGAGGAGAGGGGTTTATTTTAATCCTTAGCACTAAGCCTTGGCACCTGTTCTCCCAGACCCTGAATTCCTCTCCTTCAATCTGTGACCTTCATCTTCACACTGACTCAAAATTTGCTTCTCAGGGACCAGCAGTTAGCGTAATGGCTATGTCGCTGAACGTCCATGTAGTCAATCGCTGTTGGTGTCCCGGACCCAGTGGCTTAAACTCAACGCCGGGCGCGTGTGCGTGTGTGCCCAGGATCCCGAGAGAATGGAGGAGAAGGGATTGTGGCATAGCCATCCCCCCAGGGGGGTGATATCTTACTTTCTATCTATCTGTCTCTCTCTGTCTTTCTGGTGAGCGCACACGCCCTATAGCAAAAACCTCTCAAAAAAATTTTTTTTGCTTCTTTCAGGAAGACTCACTTGATTGCATATATCCATTTGCCCTTTCATCCTGGAACCTCCCAGGAACTGCATGATTGGTACCTATAGCTGGGTGGCTATTGATCTGTTTCAATCTTTTGTATGTCTATTTTTTTTTTCTTTTGTGGAGAGATTTTTGTATAGGGCATGTGCACTCATCAGAGAGACAGGTAGAAAAAAAGGAAGAAATCACTCCCAGGGAGTGGATGGCCACGCTGCAATCCCTTCCTTTCCATTCTCCTCTCAGGATTTCGAGCACACACACACATGTGCCCGATGTGAGTTTTAAGCGACCAGGTCTGGAACTCAAACCACAGTCAACTAGTGGGAGTTCAGTGATGTAACCATTAATGCCATCTGCTGGTCCCTGTGTGCCTATTTAGATGAAAGCACATCAAGGCAGGAATCAGACCTTCCATTTCTTGGATATCTCATTATAGAGCTGAGCCCATTGAATTTAAGTACTAGTTTATTTTGGTGCAAAAATTTTTTGAAATCCTTGCATATTTTCATAATATGCATTCTCCATGGGCTTTTTGACGACTATTCATACAGTAGGTACTCAACAAGTATTGATTGACAGATTTACCATGCTTTTCTGTGTCCTGACAATGTCTTCATCCACTTCTCTTTAAGGAAAAACAATTATTTTCCTCCTTCCCCTCCTCAAGATAACTGTGTATTCTTTTTCTGACTGCTCTCTCCCTGAAGTCTGCCCTCCCTGTTCATAAACTGTTCTATGGTATTCTCAAAAGTTCAAACAGAAATTGTCAGTAGGAAGCCCAAGTTGTGGCCAAATTTCAGGGCAAACATTAACACCTGCCACAAATAGCAAAGAAGAAAACCAGGCAGAACCCAGGAGCAGATGAATGATGAGCCTTAGTAACACTTGGTTCCATCTGAGCGGTCTCATTATAGCACCTGGTCTCTGCTTGGAGTTTCTGATAAAGACTGAACAATAGTGACAGGAGTGAAATTCAGGACAGAGGCACAGACGAAAGGAAGGAAAACTAATATTTGAATGCTTACTAAGACTCAGGCACTCGGGCCAACCCTGTAGCCTACTTGTTAAGGGACCTGAAACACACCTAGCCAAGTGAGATTCAAATCCCAGCCCTGATGACTTGAAAAACATGCTGTGCACATGTGCCCCAAAATCTCACCAGGTTGAAGAGTTGGAGGAGAAAGGATCGCAGCATAACCACACCCCATGGGGATTGCTTTCCCTCTCTGGCAATTCAAAAGAGGCCTGGCTCTGTAGCTTGGTGGTTGAGGCAGCTAGATTCCACATCCCTGCTGTTGGAGTAACAAACAGCTTAAGAAATACGCCAGGTATATTTCCAAACAAGCCCAAAGTCCCGACAGGAGGGAAAAATGACCTACAAGAAGGGATTGTGGTGATGTGACTATTTCCCATGGAGGTATTTTCTCCTCCCTCCTTCTCTCTAGCAAGTGCATATACTGTCTAGCAAAAATAAATAAGAAAAATTTTAAAAAGAATCAAGTGCTATATAAGAAGTGCCACGTTTGTTATTTCATACCTCCACATTCTCTACAGGCAGATGGTAATATTTTCATTGTGCAGATGAGGAAAGTAGCTCAAAGAGTTGAGACACATACTAGCAAGTGAATATACTGTCTAGCAAAAATAAATAAGTAAGAAAAATTTTAAAAAGAATCAAGTGCTATATAAGAAGTGCCACGTTTGTTATTTCATACCTCCACATTCTCTACAGGCAGATGGTAATATTTTCATTGTGCAGATGAGGAAAGTAGCTCAAAGAGTTGAGACACATACTCCAAACAACAAAGAAGCAGCAGGCATACCTATTAGACTTCAAAGTCTAGACTCTTGCTTACGATGCCATAGAAAAACATTTTATGAACTGTATGACTTTGTGGTGTTACTGATACACGAAGTATCAATACTGCTATAAGCTGCAGTCCATCCACCTCTGTGATATAAGGAAGGAAGAGTGAAGCTAGGCCTATGGGATACCTGAAAATGGGTAAGAGAACATTTTTGAAAATCCAAGATAGAATTAGGAGCTCTCCTAATGATTGTCCCTGACTGCAAAAGACTGAACAGATTCCACTGACCAGTTAGTTTTGTTTTGGCCTTGGGTACCTTTTCTTTCTTTGATTCTTTCAGCAGGTAATTGTTCCAATTTCCCCCTTCTTTTGTAGAAAGTGGCTAAGTAGTATGGATTTTTGTACATGTCTAAAAGAAAAGTTAACCTTGCACATGACTTGGGGCAAGAGGTGAAAGTAGAAAGTAGAAAAGAAGGACGTTTGAAAAGAGCTGAATTCTAAATAACATGAGATAACTATTAACTAAGAAACCTGATTCTTTGTATTTCACTACAGGCAGCTGGAAAGCCAGCAGCATGCCTTAGCCCTAAAGTAGACAATGTCTCTGTTTCTCCAGGGCTGCCTCCACATGGTCTCCGCCCATCCACACAGTAGAGCTGTTGCCAGGCAACAGTGACCCGCGGGCTGCCCCTTTGCACAACCAGCAAGACTAGGCTTATAAGGAGAGTCTGTGGAGGCAGCAATTTGCAAAGGTAGCATGACCTTGGAGGAGAAAGGAAGACTGTCCAGTGAGGATTAGGCATTGCTGTTGCAGGGGCCTGGAGAAGCCAGAGGGTATGTTTTATCATTGAGGTGAAAAATCCTAATCCATCTGTCTGATGAAGTAGCTTTGGCTGGTGGTGATATTTAGCCGTTGGGCTACAGGGAGCAGCTTAGTCCAAATATAGTCTGTTTAGCTGACCTTCTTAGCTCAGATTAGAGGAAAATGTCAACAAGGTAGAAGACATGGGTTATAGCCCTTTGGGAGCCAGTTAACTTTGCAAAGAAAAGACCCACTCCAGAACCACCAGTTGCACCCCATACAGCGGTTACAGGCTAGCTTTTACATGGGTCTCCAAGAATAAAAGCAGTGCTGAGGGTTTTGGGGATCTCATCTTTTCTGGGATGCCTGAAGCTATGGTCATTCAGTGCCAGCAGGTACACCAGCAGGTGCCCCGGCCCACAGGGAAAACTGGGCTGCTGCTCTTCAGGAGCCCCTTAGATCAACTGCTCACCATGCTCCAAATCCACCTTGCGTGCCCATACCCTTGCCATGACTTGTGTTATTACTTCCACCCTGGAAAGTTCTCTCTAATTCCTTAAAAGTTTAAAATCCTACTCAATGATCCTCTTTGGTGAAACCTTTCCAAAAACCTCAGCTGAAACCGTGTCTTCCTGTTCTGTTTATTCAATGTCTTTATCTTTTAAATGATATATCAGATAGGACATCTGGTAGACACGGGCTCTCTCCCCGAGATTCACCCCCTCTCAGATGTATCACGGCTGGAGGCCTGCTTGCAGCCCAGTGCGTCCTTGCACTCGCCCTCACGGCATGGGGTCTGACTGTAGTGTTTCTCGATGAGCACCAATAGTGTGACGTCCACGTAAGGGGAGGCATACACATAGAGTCAATAGGACTCTGAGACTGTGGCTTTGGTTGCACATGTTATGAACCCAACATTTAGAAATGTATTATCTTTTTACTTATTTGATTAGAATCATGATAGAGAACATGCATGTACACATGAAATAGAGAAGGCACCATCAACAGGGTCTCGTCATGCCCCAGCCCCTTTTCCCCAGCCTTCCAGAGCTTGGGCTCACACACTGCTGTGTTTTCCAGGCTGACCATGCGGCTTTCAGCACCACAGTTCAGTTTGCCACCAACTGTGACACCAGGCTGGGCCTAGAAAAATATTTTCTGAATTCTGTTTCTCCCAATAATAATAAGAGAAGGTACAGGTACCCAGAGTGGGACAAAGAATGAGTAAAACCTGATTCCTGCCCTCTTGAATCTTATATCAGGACCTTCTGCATTTCCCACTGTCTGAAGTTGGCTGTGTGCTGTATTAGCCAGGGTTCTCCAGAGAAACAGATAGGAGACTACACGTGTGTGCATATGTGTGTATCAGGGGTCTTCAAAAGGTTCAAGGAAAATGCATACTATGAAAAAATTCTACACATGGATTTTAAAATTGTTGAACCAAAATAAAATCATATTTTAATTCTATTTTTCCAGGACTTTCTGAAGTACCCTCATATATGTATGTATATTAGTATAAATATAGATACAGATAAGAGAAATGAATTATGAGGACTTGACTCACACTGTTAAGGAGACTGAGATACCCCACGATCTGCCATCTGGAGACCCAGGAGAGCTGGTGGTGTAAATCTCAGCCCAAGGACAGGAGACGATGAGATGAAACTTGTTCCAACTCAGGTCGTGAGATCGGAAAAGAGGGATGAATTCCTGCTTCCTCACCCTTTTAGGTCCTCAACAGATTGGCTAACGTTCACCCACATTGCGGAGGGTAGTCTGCTTTACTGAGTCCACCAATTCAGATGTTAGTCTCATCCAGAAACACACCAAG